CCTATGCTCCTGATCCTGTCATGAAGCTCCCCCTACACCTTCTTATATTAGTTATTCTCCTCTGCTTTCCTCATAGCATTCTCTGTATGTGCTTTCTGATTGTCACATAAAATCTGATTCTACAAAAACTTTCTCTTGTCCCCAGGGTCCCCTCTAGCATGCCACTCTTCTCTCAGCCAAGCTTCTGGAAAGAGAACTTTGTTACAATTTTCCCTTCCTCACCTATCTCCCTTTGACCTCCCCACTTTAATAATGTTCAGCAAAGCTCCCTACTCTCTGACTTGCTGGATAACTTTCCAATCCTTATTTTATTGTGTTTATTATGTTAACACTGACGATCACCTCTTTCTTCAGGAAACTCTTGATTCTACTGGCTTCCGTGACACTTCCTCACATAGAACCTGTCAGTTAGTGGGAGGGTCATGTCTAGAGTTTCTCTCTCTCTAGGGTGAAGAACCTTTGTCAGAGTCCCTGGCTAGTCACCTTACATTCTCCTAAGTCAAAAGAAACCAGTCCTTAGCCAATCTGTGGAGGCCATGCTGATTGGGGAGTGGCTAAGAAGCAGTCGTAGAGGACTCGGCTGAAGGCTTTGTGGTATCTGTGAATACTGTACCTTTATATGTACCTTTACTACTCACTGAACTAGTGCTTACATTTACATTGACTGTAATCCAAAGGGGCTTGTTCAAAACAAACATCTTGAAACTTGCAGAGTTTATCCTCTGACAAATGCATTTGTGGATTTTAATGGTCCCAAGCCACAGGGCTCCATAATTCTCTCTAGGTCTTTATGGAGAACAACAATAGTAATGTTATGTCCACCCTTTGAGGCTCTGGCAGCCAATAGTCTGAATCACTTGCTTGCAAAGTGACTATGTATCCACGAAACAATTCAATATGGTGATCCGGGCAACTGGACCGAGGTTAAGGATATCATTACTAAGGATCATATTCCTCTAATATCTATGGAACATGTTGGCAAAATTAGGATTTCTTATTTGAGGCTTCCTGATTTAGGATGGAAAATATCTGGACAATGGGAAGAGCCCTCACCCAATCTATTTTGGCAATAGTCATTCATTATAATGTATGACGATCATCTGTGCATTCGAGACTCTCCGTTGCCCTTTTATCAACTACTGTGCTCACCCTCCTACACATGCAGCACTGTGTATCATTTGTCTTGCTAATTCTTTCACCATCCATTACTCATATGCTCTCCTCATCTCTCCACCAGTTCGACCTGTACTTTCTTCAAGCCTCAGTTCAAGTTCTACCTTCTCTGTGCAGCATTGTTGGATCCTCCCAATACAGTCCTTCTTGGAATTCCTGAGCTCAGTGGTTCTCAAACAGGAGTGGTTTTGCACCCTGTTCCCCAAGACATTTGGTAATATCTGGAGACAGTTTTGGTTGTCTCAACTGGGATATGCAGTAACCGATATTTAGTTGATAAACACCAAGGACGAAACTTAGTATTCTACAGTGCACATCATACTCCTTGAAGACAGAGTTATTTAGCCAAAACAGTCCCCTGAGTTGAGAAGCCCTGACTTTTGGATCATCTTATTTGGTTACTTATTACAGAGTAGAATCTTAAGGCTGGATAGAAACCTTTAGAAATTATTCTGTTTGCCTCCCCTTCTACAAATTTTGTAAGAAGACTAACCCAAGGGAAACCTTGAGAGTCACAGAATGGGGAAGTCATTAGCAGGGCTCTGTCCCCTGGACTCTGGGCCATTAGCTTTCTCTCTGTCTACCTCTGTTTGTCTATCTGTCTGCCTGTCTTTCTCTCTTTCTCCCTTTCTTTTTTACAGTGCTGGTCATTGAACCCAGGCCATTGCTCTGGCTAGGCAGACTCTATCACTGAGCTACACCCCCAGTCCTAACTGGGAACCATTTCTATTATACTATGCATTGTTTCTGGTTCAGCCAGGTACATTTAAAATTTCTATAAGCAATTTTATCATTTTTTAATTAAACATGCAGTAATTCTTTTCTTTAACCTGCTACTTTCAGTGTACTACCAGGAACACAGTAGGTATTTGTTCTCAGATCAAAATAGCCCTAGATTTTACACAACACTATTTTATCCCTATGCAGACATACTTTTAAAGAATTACAACCTTATCCCCTAGATATAACCTCTCAAAAGGCTAGATGACTACATCTAATTCACAGAAAGAAGAAATTCAATAACAGTCTTCTGTGTAAGTTTGTTCATGTTGATTAGAGTAAATACCAGCCAGTGGAGTGTTATGCCCTTAAATAATGGTGCTGAAAATTACCACCTTACTACTACAGAGGAAAACAGGAAAGATTTCTACTAAGGGAACTGGTGAAATGAATTCTTAGAGAATATGGGAAAAACAAACCAACAAAATTCACAAAGGACAACACATTATATAAGTTTGTTAGTTTGAGCCTATGCAACCTGATTTATAACCCATTCCTAACCTAAATAAATTATTCTCCTTGAAGGAAAAAAACATGAAAGATTCTAAAAAGGCTGGGTTAGACCTGCAGTGACAGAATAAACGAAGGAGATGCCAGTCCCCATAACCCCTTGGATGCACTTGGTCTCCGAAGCTAAGCATGAGTCTGATTAGTATGTGGATGGAAGAATGAGGCTTTTTATTTTTTATTTTTTGGAAAAGAAGAGCTGATGGACTAGTTTTCTACATTTCAGAGGCAGAAGAGCACAGTAGATGTTGCAAGCTCAGCCCTAGATTGAGCTAATTCTGGATTTGCATATTGGTAATGCCAGACAGCAGCTGTGTGATTCAAGTAAATGCTATACTCTCTCAAATCGCAGTCTCCTCAACTTTGAAGTGAGTATCATCAACAGTAATTCCTCAAACATAACATCTTTTTGAGGATTTGTTGAACGAACCCAGGAAAAATATTATAGAACTGGGCTAAATCTAAGGAATGAATAAGCGAGAGCTATTGTTACCACTATATCTACTTTTAATCTTATTTCTTAAAAAAATGGGATCACTTAGTTGTTCAATGTTGGCTGTATTTCATCAGAAGAAATATGAAATTTCCTTCATAATATGGAAGGGAACATCTACTACGTTACAGTCTTTACATTTAAAATAAAACAGTGGGCTTTTAGATATACATATGTGGAATTTTTTTTCTTCATGTAAACAAAGTTTTAGGGTTAGGGATCTGGAAAATAATTTGAGGATGATTTTCCTTCTTTCTTCCCTCCTTCCTTTCCTTTCTCCCTTACTTTCTTAGACAAGATGTGAAGACACATGAATATGGGTTTTTAGGAAAGTAAGAAAGTCTGGGAAGAGAAACTGCAGTTTCAGGTTTCAGCCCTGGCTAATCCTAAATCGAAATGTCAGGATCTCTCATTGGGAAAAGGAAGAATTTAAGAGATGGTTAATAAGGTTTTTTTCCAGTTTCAATTACTGGATTGCATTTTTATTCCTATGGAGTTTTAGGCATATATCCAACTCAAATATGTTTTTAAAAATTATCCTGTCTTTTTAAATAGTAAATTCAATCGATGTGAAAATTATTCAATTTTCAAGTAATATTTTATATTTTGAATAGAAAATCTCATACAAGCATTTTGCTACATTTCCAAAACCAGGGCTACCTTTATGTGAGCGCACTATATTTAGGAGTTCTCCATGTTTAGAGGCCTTGAGAATTGGTTTAATGCTCTGCTGATGAAATTTATAGTGATGTTTGAATATAAAGCCTTCTTTTTCATTTTTCACTGGGCGCTGCAAATTATGGAGCTGGTTCGGTTTAATAATTTATAGTTGAGTAGGGAAAGTGGGAAGGGTAGGGGAAAGGGAATAATGGAAAAGAAAAAAATATGAGAAAATGAAAAAATGGAAATAAAGTGTTTGTAAATGGTGAGGGGAGGAAGGGGTGAAGGGAGGGCAGGGACAAAGGGAAAAAATGAGAACCAAGACCTGTCATGTAAAGGTACAAGATCCCAATGATGAATGTAACTGTACTGTATGCCTAAAATGTACCAATAAACTCAATAAAAAGAAAAAAATACAGTTGAATTTCCAGGCCTGGGATTCTCCTTTTTTTAGTTAGGAACTCACACAGACTTTTCTTCTTTGCAGTCGCAGTCAGTTTTTATGTTGATATGAAAGTAGGAAGGGCTACCTGCTAAGCCTGCCCGACTACAGGATGTGCCAACAACTGGGCACAGGACTGCAGGACTGTTCGTATCCTCAAAGGGCAAGGGCTCCCTCCTCTACCCTCAGCCATCTGTAGTGTCCGGAGCTACTATCACTGATAACGCTCAGTGCAAATGTTTGTAATAGTCTAACGGACTGCAGGGAGGACCTGACAACAGGATAAATTAATAGTACACCCTTGAAAATTAGAGGCTGTCAGTCAGTCCCAGGAAGAGCCCCATTTTGAAAAGCCCCTGCCTCCATTCAGCCTCTTCTGGACGCTGGTCACCATTCTTAAGCTTTCGTTCAGGGTTGGCCTAAGGTTCTCAAGCGCAGGTCTAATGGCCCCGTTTCCAGAGATTCTAAGGGGCAGTAAACTAGGAACGACTCAGAGAAAGGCCCTCTATCCTACCAATGCTTGCATGATTCTACTTCATAAAAACAAAACAAAACAAAACAAAAAAAATTTAATCTCTTGGAGTGTGCGGTCCTTGAGCCAGGCACTGAGGACACAACAGTGAGTTAACGCAAGGACAGTGAACTAATTACAATGATCACGGTGACCCAGACGTCGTGGGTTTACTTCCTGGTCTGTGGAACAGGGATAATACCTCACAGAGCTACTGTGAGGATATAAGGAGATAATAAGTGACTGGAGACTTGAAGGGCTACTTAAGGGAGAATTTGCAAGGTGGAAAACACGGGCACAAGATTGAAAAAGCAAAATCCTCTTTCTCTTTCCACGCCCGCCTAGTCCCAGGAAGACGAGACCAGCCACTGAAAGCACTCAACCGCCCGCGGCTCCCGCGAAGTGCAAGCAGCGGAGGATCAGGCAGTGTTTGAAAAGTAAACGGGCTAAGTAAGAGGCGGGGCCGGGCTGTAGTGGGCGGGGAAAGGGCGGGGCCATAGCCTATCCGGCGCAGCCGCTGGGTTTGGAGAGGAAGCAGGAGACACGTGAGAAGCGGGGCCAGGCCGAGGTGGGCGGGTCCTTGAGGGAGCGGCGCCACGAAGGCGGACCTAAAGGGAAAGGAGAGCCTTCTCCGGGCCAGACAGCGATGGGCGGGGTAGGAGGAGCGGGGCGGTCTCCTAACCAGCGCGGCTTCTGTGTTTGGAGATGAAGCGGGAAAGCCACGGAGAGGTGGGGCCGGGCCGAGGTGGGCGGGGCCTTAT